TTACTAAAAGATATCCTTGAGACTGATAATGGGAAGGCAGGGGTTATATGTTTGCACACAGCAGTTTGGGCATACTGACAGAGTTGATGGAGTTACCTTTAATTAGATACGTTAGCTAATAGGTGTAGGATCTGGACCCAGCATTCCTTGGGTACAGTATAGAGAAGTCCTGGGTGAGGGAGGAGGTAGCTTCACTGAAACTTCCAGTCTTGGGGGGGGGGTTCTTAACCTGGGGTCTGTAATTTGTTTATAAAAATATTTTGATAACTTTCAATATAATTGGTTTCCTTGGCAGTCCTCTGTATTTTATTTACTGCATTTAAAAATACTATTTTTGAAAAGGGGCCCATTGGCTTCACCAGATTGCCAAAGGGGTCCATTATCTAAAAAAGGTTAAAAACCCTTGTCCTAGAGCAATGGTGTCAAACTCAAGTAGAAAAGAGGACCGGTAAAGTATACATGAAGATAGCATATTGCCTGGCTGCATACTGACTTAGAAAACCATGTATTAACATTATCTATGCTTTATTGCAATTTTATTGATTTTGTTAAATATTTTCCAATTCTATTTTAATCTGGTTCAGTTGCACTGGGAGTGTGATGGGCTATATGCAGCTCATACTATGTCTTGTGTTTGACACCTCTGACCTAGAGCCCTGAGATGTTACAATTCTCCCAGGGTCACACTGCCAATATGTCTCCAAAGCAGGAGTTCTTGGCTTTGAAGTCAACTCTCTATCCATTGTGCCCACAGTCTAGTGAAACATCCAGATAGATGTGCAATTTACTGTCTCCCTCAGATTTAGCTCCACAGAGAGCTTGTTGGAATACTCTATCTATAATACAGTAGCATATGGTTAGTGACCAGTCGATTTGATGAAAACAGTTCAGTCATATTTGTAGTTGGTTGTTACGTGGACATCTGTTCAGGTTAACAGAAGAGAAGAGTCCTCTGGGTATGGTGAGTTGTATTGAATGAGCTAAATTATAAATGAATGAAACCTAGTGCAATGTTGGAAATCCACTCTGTGCACCCCAGGATACTACCCTGATAATTGCAAGTTGGAAAGTTACCTTGCTGTCTCTACAGACTTCTGGAATGATACCAATTGTCTCTGAGTTAGTAAGGGGCATGCTGGGTTGGAAACTGTATAGTCTGCACAGTAGTAACAGCCTTGTCATTTAATTTAAAAATTATGTGAAGACATCAGTTACAGATGTGCTCTGCTTTAAGACAACCAGATCCAGATTTACAAAACAGATAAATTAGGGGATAATTATTTGCATTAGGAAAGGCTAATTCATTTTGTGATGAAATCACTTTAAATCTCTCTCTGTCCCCAAACCTTGTTTACATTTACTATTTAAAAGGTTCTGTTCTGGCACACATCCTTGGATTTTAAATTGGCACCTGTGGAAAAGAAAGCAGTTAGTTTTGGGGCTAACTCCTTTGCTAGGAAGTTGCTAAGAGGAACCATTGTTTGGAAATTGCAAGGTACACCTAGATATAAATTTCTAGCTGCAAATAGTTGGGAGTTGGTAGACATAAGTGGTATTAAACCTAGGTTTTCTGACTTCCAATGCAGTATTCTTCCCATCTTCCCATTATACTATGCTGTACCCATGATGCATCCCAGGAGAAGAACAAGGGGACATATGGTAATTTATTATCAAAAGGAAAGAAATAGGTAATATGGAACTTTCGTTTTTAAGTGTAAAATGAGCTTCTCTCATTTGAAGACTGGTCAGACATTGCCTATCAATCCTTCCAAGTGGGGGAAAAATAATCCTGAATCTTATTGTAATTTGTTCACATATTAGTTTTTTAGAACATGGAAAAATAGGATCCTATTAACCTGAGGAGGGTCTTATACACCATGAAAAAGAGCAATAACTTTATTTGGTAACTGCTTGGTTGGTTTCCCTGCCTCCAATTTTTCACCACTCAAGTCCACCTGCCACTCAGCTGTCAAGTTAATTTTCCTAAAGCACAGAACTGACTGTCTGGCCCTTCCACCCCCACTCCTATTCACTAACTGACTTCCCATCACCTCCAGGATAAAATAGAAAATTGTCTGTTCAGCATGCAAAGTCCTTCATAACCTAATTCCCTCCTCCCTTTCCAGTTTCCTTAATTCCCTCCAACCCCTATGCTCTGTGATCCAGGGACACTGGCCACTTTGCCTCAGACAAGACACCCCATCTCCAGACTTTGGCTTCTCCACTGTCTGCTTCCCAGGCCTGGAATACTGCCTCCCTTCTCACCTCTGCTTTTTGCTTTCCCTGGTTTCCTTCAAGTCTCAGCTAAACTCCATCTTCTAGGATAACCTTTCTAATCCTCCTTAATGTTAATGCCTTCTCTCTGTTATCTCTAATTTGTCCTGTATATATCTTGTTTGTACATTGTTGTTTTCATGTCATTTCCTCCACTAACTGTGAGAGCAGGGACTACCTTTCTATCCCCAGACATAGCACAGTGCTTGGCACATAGTAGGTGCTTAATAAATGCACAGTGACGGGAAAATAGAAGGTGCTTAATAAACGCTTGTTGACTGATGGATAAATAATGGGGAACCACGGAAGATTTTGTGAGCCAAGAAAAGACATGACAATCTATGCATGTAAAATATTAGTCTGAAATGCAAGAATCAGAGGAAAGATCAAGCTGGGCACTGTATTGGTAATTCTGAGCTCTATAATCGCTGTGCTCTTGTTACAATGAGTCACATCACATGGTTCTGGATCAGAGTTAGCTGCCTGTGTGGTATGATTTTCTTTGGCTCTTGAAGGCTTTTTGATCCTTTTTAGAATTGCCTATTAAAAGGTTTAAGGAGTATTAGTACTTTAATCTGTATAACAACTAACACCTTAGTGGTGAGTGGGACATACTGGGAGTGAATGTGTCAGACCTCCAAGAGAAAAATATTAAAAGAAACAACATTAGAGGGAATGTGTTAGAGGGGAAGTCACTATATGATTTTGCTGTTTACTCTAGATGTCTTAATTTGATTTTCTTCCTGTCACGAGAAATAGATTACTTTCTGTCAGTTACCTTCTATCCTTGAGCTAAATTTTTAGACTTTATTTCCTTCTTTTGATTTTCATTAGTGAGGAAAACAGAAGACAGCCAGCAGAATATTGCCTGAATCCAATACTGGTGCTATCAGTGTTTACATAGAAGGAAGGAAAGGAGAGTATGAGGGGGATGAAAATAACTAAGGACTCTGATGAGAGAATCTGCATTAACAAGTTTATAACAGATGGTAGACAGTTGGTTAAGAAAAGAGAGAGAAAAAGCAGGATGTGAGAGAGAGAGAGAGAGAGAGAGAGAGAGAGAGAGAGAGAGAGAGAGAGAAAGAGAGAGAAAAGAGAGAGAGAGAGAGAGAGAGAGAGAGAGAGAGAGAGAGGAGAGAGAGAGAGAGAGAAGAGAGAGAGAGAAGAGAGAGAGAGAGAGAGGTAAGTTATCCCACAAAAGGGAACCTTCCTTGAAGCTACAAGAAAAGGAGGACCAAATGTGTAAAAAGAAGGCAAGAAAAAAAGGATGAGGTAAAGAATCCTTCTTTTTAAATATCTATTTCTCTTCTTTCCTGGCTCATAGAATATTGGGAATGGAAGGGATTGTAGAGGAGTCATCTCACTCAACCCTTTCATTTTCTAGATGAAAGTGAGGCCCAGAGATGGGATGTGACCTGTCCAAGGTTACTAAATTATACCGGTTTTGGAAGTCGAGCTAAAATCCAGGTCTCCTCAGTCTTAAATACTTTGCCTTACACCAAGCTCTTTTTCCTTTCCTCCCATTTGTAAGACACTTATTTGGTTCTAAAGGGGTTTTCACCTCAAACTTCCCAATCTAGAGCAGGCAAATTTACTGGAGTTGGAAGCACAATACTCTTAACTAAGGTTTTATGTAGGTGTGTACCCTAATGGCAGATTGCTGCTTTAGAAAACATCATTTAGAAATGCACTAAATTGCATGAGGGCAAAACCAAAGAAAGGACTGAGGAGTTGTAAATGTGGCCATACCAACATGGTGTGGAAAGCCAAAAGGACAGACATTAGAAGATAGCAAATATGCTTCTTCTTCCCAACCACTATAAAATGTGAGTTCTGCATGCAAAATAGTTGGGAGGTCTCTTGAAAACTACAGCAATTAAGGACACCAGAAACATAGCAGGATTAGCATCACATTTCTTCCTGTTTTTTTCTTATGTTTTCATTTAAATCGTTTGCTGATTTCCTGACTAGACCATCTTTGATTTCTTCTCAACATTGCTATGAACATTAGGGAAACCCCATCCCTCATCATTTTTCAAAATCACAAATAAGTCCTTTTTTTTTTTTTAAGAGAAGGGGTAGGAGTTACAAGGAATCTCAAACTCCAAATTGATTGTAGATAACAAATGTATTTTAGGAAGCTGATGCTGTGTCCCATGTAGTGTTCTGGATTAGTGCCTGGCCCATCTGTGGTAAATAAAAACTAAATGACAATGACAATAGCAAATAAAAAAATATCTCTACCTGGTGAAGTGTCTGGCAAGGAGGTTGGCATGCAAACTTTTCTCTGAGTTGACTTCCTCCCACTGCATACACAAAGCACACACATATCATATATTCCTCTCCTCAGTGGCTGCACCAAAAGGAGGGTGTTTGTGCATGGATGGATATATTTATTGCCATCTGAGGTTGAAGGCATGTGGAACAAAAACCCCATGTACCCATGTTCATATTAAACACATATAACATTTCTTTGGGCATCTTTGACAATAACTTAGGTTGTTTAGATGGAATAAAATGGTCACCCATGATACTGCATGCCTCTACTTCCAAAGAAACACGATGGCAGAAACAAGACAAAAATGCAAATAGAGGCTCATAGTATATCACACGGTGGTAGTGAAGTCATGCAAGGAGAAAATAAATATAACAAACAGATGGATGAGCAGCAGACACTCCAAAATGAAAAAAAAAGCCAGAGCAAACAATTCTAAAATTATTCTTACCTTCCTCAGTCATTGTGTCATAATATTTTAGTTTTCCATATGATCCAAGCTCTACAATATCATAGCAAAAGACACAAAGATAAGGAACTGAGCAGTAATTCAAGAAACTTGTTTTTACACGTTCTTAATCAGGTTCATTGTTATACTGTCAAATTCAGCAATTTTAACTCTATAGGGATAGGCAAACAGGAGCTATATAACAGACAGCTTTCATGGCCTGTTTCCAGAAATCACTTAAAAGACAGGATCCCACAAGTTTAAAAAAATAATCGACTTGATTTGGTGGAAAGGAAGTCAGGAAGGTCTTTATGTCTGTCATGGGTTACAACCAAGACAAAGCCCTTTGGATATCTAACAGCACAGGTGAAGATAATTTTCAAAGACAACTTTATATCAGAAATGATTTATCACTTTTTCTGGAGGTGACACCAAGGGAAGATGCTTATGTAAGGACAGTGTCTGGGCATGTCTGAAGCTGAGATATTGGGCAAAACACCCAATGAACAAGCAAGGCTCCCCAACACCAAATAGCAGTCACGTGAGCTCACCAAATGACAATGATTTATCTTCTTCCTGAGGTTAAGGATGATTATATAGGAAAACAACACATTGCTTAGTTCAAAGTGAAAATCTGCTCCTTGAGTTTCTCTTCCCTTTTCGCCTCATTAGAGTAAGCATGTATAGCATTAGAGACAGACAAATAAAACACGTGTAGAGGATGGTGAAAAGCTTAAATACACAGTGTGCTCTGGGCACAAGAGAGAAGTACAATTCCCTGGGAAGTCTGAACCAGACTCAGAATAGTAAGTAAAGCACCAGCAACAATTAGATATGACAGTCATTCACTGATCTTGTGGAAAAGGGAGGGAACATAAGAAGCATCTCCTTTCTCTCTGGTCATCATGAAAGGATCCTCAGAGCTGGGAGGAACTTTAGTGATCAAAGTATAACCTCCGCATTCTACAGAAGAGGAAGTTGAGACCCAGAGAGATTAAGAGATTTGCCCCAAATCATCCAGCTATCCTGCAGTGGAACCAGGATGTGAACCAAGGTACTCTGACTTCAAATCCAGCACTTTCCACCATGGCTCGCTGTCTCTCAGGTTGCAATTGAAACCATAGGCTGGAAAGTTCTTCATATATATTGGTGGGTAGCAGTGGTGGAAGCTGGGAATGAGAAAGGACAAAAATGTGTAAATCTGTCTTCCAACCTAGATTCTAAGATGTCACATTTTATCCTTTCTGTCTGAAAAGATATCTAGGAAGAGTAAGTCTGAAGACTTAGGGTAAGCTGGGATCTGGTTATGTATATGTACACATGCATACATGTATATGTAACCAAGGAGCATTTTTTAAGTGCCTACTGTGTGTCAGGCAGCAGGGAACAAATTCTAAGACTGAACCGATCCCTTCTTGCAAGGGGCTTACATTCAAATGGGAGAGAAAATAAGCATATATATGCACATATGTTTACATATATAATGACATATAGGATAGATATAAAGAGAATGAAGGCAAATAAATGCAAAGTAGTTAAATACTAGGTAGCTTGGGGAGGAGGGCATTAGTCATTGGGGAGGTTGGGAAAAGCTCCTAGTAGAAGTTGCATTTCAAAGGAAAAGTAGAATTCTATGAGACAGAGGTGAAGAGGAAGTACATCACACACATGGAGGATGACTAGTGCAAACACAAGGAGAAAGGAGACAGAGTGTCTTTATGTAAGGAGCAAAGAGAAGGAGAGTTTGACTGCCCCTCAGAGTATGGCAGAGGGGTGATATATGAGACTGGAAAGATAGTATGGAGTCAGGTTGTGAAGGTATTTAAAGTTGAACAGTGGAATTTATATTTGATCCTATAGGCAACTTTGTTTGTTGTTGTTCAGTTGTTTTTCAGTCATTGCTGACTCTATGACCCTGCTTGGAGTTTTCTTGGCAAAGGCAGTGGTTTGCCATTTCCTTCTCTAGCTCATGTTACAGATGAGGAAACTGAGGCAAACAGAGTTAAGTAACCTGACCAGGGTTACACAGCTAGTAAGTGTCCGAGGTCAGATTTGAACTCAGTTCTTCCTGACTCCAGGCCCAGCACTCTATCTGCTAAGCCACCTAGGGAACCACTGAAGTTCATCAGTAGGGAAGCGACAAGGTCAGCTCTGTATATATGTATGTGCACATGTACATATATGCACACACATTTATGTGTGTATATAGAGGTGTACTGTCCGTACATGTGCACGCATGTGTATTTACATGTGTATATATGCATGTACATATACAGTAGTGCATATGTATGTCTATGTATAGTGCATATGCAAGTGTATATGCAATGTCCACGTGCATGTATTTATATACTTGTGTATGTGTATCTGTACACATAAATTTATATTCACATGCCTGTCTGTTTCTGTCTCTCTCTCTCTCTGTATATATAAATATATATATATATTATACATATATAATATATATATATATTATATATATGTAGACATGCACATGCATATGTATTTCTCCTCATGAAAAGCTAACCCTAGGAAATTTTTTTTTAAAAGCGATCTCATTTAAAAAAAAAGCAATCTCATGAAACAGTTTTGCTTTCTTCAGTACTCATCCATAGCCTGTTAACTTGGAATACTGCCAAGGAAGCCATTGAGGTTTTAGGTATCCATAAAAGTAAAAATGAAGCACTTCATATATTTGTGTAGAGGAATAAGAATCTGATTAATTGAACATATTTATGATTTATCAAGGGCAGCTAGGTGGTGCAGTGGATAGAGCTCTGGGCCTGGAGTCAGGAAGACCTGAGTTTAAATATGGCCTCAGACACTTACTAGCTATGTTGCCCTGGGCAAATCACTTAACCCTGACTGCCTCAGTTTCCTCATCTGTAAAATGAGCTGGAGAGGGGAAATGGCAAGTCATTCCGGTATCTTTGCCAAGGAAAGGTGGGATGTGATGAACAACAAATAATTTATCATTATTTCATTTTCAAAAAAGTGTCACCTGAAGCTATTTTAATGTAATGGCAAAGGTAAGGATGCGGCTGTTCGGAGAGTGAATAGTCACTTGGTTTTCGAGTTTCTGTACTATCTTAGCAGTATTGGATTTTGCTGGAACTACATTACTGAGGACACAGATGCTCTATGATGAAACTAAATTTCATTTTAACAATGAGGAATTGAGAAATCTAATATATTGTAAGGTGTTACATGATACTGTGTAAGTTTTGAGTTCTTCAATAACGAAAACAACTTCAAAAATATACAATGCATATTTTATAATGATATATATTGTACAATATCCATAATTAAAAACAGTCAGACCATATGTGTTATCAATTCACTCATTTTTCTGCCCAGCCTTTCCCATTTTCCTTTCCTGAGATACTCTCTCAAATGCTCAAATCTGTGTTCTCATAAATTCAGAGTCCCCACCAATGATGCAGATTACAAATCATGCCTGCCCATCCGATAATGATTCTCTTTCATGTCCTCCCCAAATTTTCCTCAAGAGGTCTATCCAACATGCTGGAGGCCTTTCTCACTTTCTCCTGACGTTTGAAGGTACCAGTGGAACACTGGCGACTCAGCAGTTGTCCCTCCGTCTTGCTACAGGCCATCTGGTAAATGGCCATGATAGTTCAGTAAAAAAAGAAAAGTATAAAAATGGCCCTCAAGAAGAGCAGCACAATGGTAGGGAAGGACATAGAGCATGCTAAGAATCTTACAGCTTTTAGATCAGCAACAAACTTTAATTTGCCTTTTGTTATTCTCTGAGGTGCATATGGAATAAAAGAAAGCAAAGTTACTGTTTTTCAGTACTTTGGCATAGGGAAAGCAGCTTTTTTTTTTTTTTACAAAATATGCAAAAGAACAAAGTATATATTAGATGGTGAAGCTATGTCTTTGCAAATAGGTATACACACCACACATACCTTTTTGTTTTTTGGGTGTTCAGATCTGTGACCTTATTGTTTCAAACTTTGGATAAATAAACTCCCTCTACCAATTCAGGTCAGTAAGTGTTCTGAATCTTATAGTATTAGAGTTTCCTAGAGCACTGATAAATTAAATGACTGGCTCAGGGTCATGCAGTCAGTATGTGTCACAGGCAGAACTTGAGCCCAGGTCATCCTCATTTTGTGGTGGCCTTTTATGGCATATGTTTACATTTTTATAAAATATTCGCACACAATGCATACATGTATACATGCATGTATACATGCACACACATATACATATACAACAAAACCCAACATACACCTACACACACACACACACACACGCACATGTGTAGTGTCCCTCAAGACCATCACTTCAGAAAAACAAACCAAAAACCTCCCCAAAAACCAAACTCCTCTCACCTGTAGGCTTCCCAGTGACATGACTACTCCTCATTTAAAATATTCTATGGGTCTACAGTTTGGAAACCCAACTGTAGAAATTCCTTTATCTCTTTGCAGGTATGAGATTCAGAGTGTGAGGATATACCTCTCAGGTAAACTCAAGGAGAACACATTAAATACTCACTCATCAGTCAGCTACTTGACTTGTTACCATATTAATTCTCTCACAAAGTTCAAAGGCATACTAGTAGGTTATAAATGGGAATGTCCTTAGAAAGAAGTGAAAATGCAAACTCTCTCATTAATTAATTAATTACCTCTGAGCCTGAGAACTCTAGTAAAACCCGGAAATGTCTTTGCCTGTAGAACTTTCTTTTCTCTCTTAGTCTCAAACATCAGTCTCATAGATTTAGATAAACATTAATGCTACTGGTTCTGTAATTTACTAATATTACTTCAGCACTGTATCAGCTGTAAGAGTGGTCACTTCTGGAGTCACCTCTTACCGTTATTTGCAACTTCAAACTCCTCCAAAACATTGGGCCACAGTGGTTCAATAGTTCAGTTCTCTTGGAATGACAGTGAAAGTCTCAGGAATTTTCTTAAGAATGTCTCTTTCACAGAATAAGAGCTAACTCAGTTCAGTTCTCATCAGGGATAAAAGACAGTCCAACTTATTCATTTCCTCTTCAGGATGGCATTTAAACTCAATTT